CTGAATGCGCCCCCTGGCTGCAGCTGCCACATGATGATTGCTCTGAACCCTCAGCTACTGCCTGCCTATGGAATGGACAAGCTATGGACTTAATCTGCATGAGACTTTGAACCTCGCTGAATCCTCTGACTTGAGAATCATGATTGTGTTGCTGCTGTCAAGAAAAAAAATGCTTACCGAGAGGCCCGACTTTGTCTAATGTTTGGTAAAAGTTTTGTGAGTAATCTAGCATGGTTGTTAGGAATGAGTAAACAAGTGTAGAAACACATTTTGTGCTTAGTGAGAGATTGTGCTGTAAAGTACATTTACTTAATCTGCATAGGCTGAATCCTCTGGTTTAAGGATTATCAAGATTTTATTGCTGTTGCTGTTGTATGTTATTATATTGGTCGGAGATGGGGAACGAGTAAATTGTAAGGCAAGATTTCTGGAGGGGTGGCCTGTGGGTAAAACTAACATTTCCAGAATATCTCGCCTGGCTTTAGTACATTGCATATCAGTAGGCAGTCAGAGGTGGAGAGAAGTATGGCTTTACTTCATTTGCATCATTCCTCAGGGGTGGAGAGAAGTTCATCATCATATCATATCTGAGCAACAGAGGGCTTATCTGTACCTGAGAGGTGAGGGGAGGGCTGGTTCTGCTTCTGCTGGAGGAGGAAATAGAGATGGCCCAGGACTGCAGTTTGTGAGCAATAAACAGATTTTAAACTTTATTTCTCCCTTTGACTGATTTTGGTTTTTAGAGGTATTTTGCCTGGGGATTTCCTCTCCCTGGACTTACACTCCCCATCAAACATTAAGCAGTCAGAGTCACATTAATTCTCAAAGGTAAAAATATTAAACTAGGAGTACAGGCATTCTTCAGTGAAATTAGTTAAAACTAAAAAGCCAGGAGTAACTTGACCTGGAATGTTTTAAATATCCCCCAGATAAGAAAATACCTCAGTATGAGACAGACTGTGGGTGTAGTCAAAGTAGAGTGATGGCCCCCAGAAAGAGATATTTGCAGTCAATGCAATATAACTACATGCAAGGAAACCCCCTCCCAAAACTCTGTGGTAAACATTAAGCTCTAGAGTCATTCATCAGTGAGATCAGTTAATATTCCCCAGGTAAAGAAGAGTAGCACATGTTTTTATTATGCTGATCATTTGTAATCATGTGTAAGACTCACTTTAGCATGCCAAAATGCCCAGGCCTATGTGCTGTCTTTCCTCCTTCAAACCTGATGAGGTGATTTTGCAAACTGGGCAACTAATTTAGCATGCAGACCTAGCTGTAAACAACATAGTACAAGGCAGGAAGGATTCCACTTTAAAGATAAGATTGCAATTTAATACCCAGGAAGTTAAGAAGTAAGATTCTTAACTTACTCTTTAGCAAACAATACTTCAGCCCACTTAGGGGCTGGGCAGGTGGCCTTGTTTGACATGCTCCCATACCAAGACACTGGTATCTCGGAGAGAAATCATCAGAGCAGGAAGTTGCTTATGTTAATTCTAAATATTCAGGGACCACTTAACAAGTCCACACCCCTATTTTCATATTCCCCAAAATCCTCAACTGCCTATAAAACCCCTAGACAATGCACCACATGGACTCTCTTGTCCCCTGCTGGCGTGAGGCAGGAGCTCTGTCCTCTCACTATATCTCTCAGTAAAAGCCTCTCCCTGGCTCTCCTATCTTAGGTGTTTGCTAAGTTCATTCTTTGACTCCACAAACAAGAACTCCAGCATCAAGTATAGCCTTTATTGTGTCAGTTAAATCATGCTATTGTAAGATTTACTTTAGCATGCTAAAAGCCCCGGCTTAGTTTTTTCCTTTACCCAGGTGCTGCTTTTCTTCCTCCAGCCCTAATCAAATAATTTCTAACCTGGGCAATTAATTTAGCAAGCAAGCCCAATCATAAACAACATAGTAAAAACAGAAAGAATTCCATCTTAAAGATAAGATTGCATTTTAAAACCCAAGAAGTTAAAAAGTAAGTTTCTTAACATGCTCTTTAATAAAAAGACAAACTCAGCCCACCTTGGGAGCAGGACAGGCAATCTTAATTAATATGCTCCCAGACCAAGAAGCTGCTGTCTTGGAAAAGAATCAAAGTGGTAAATTTCTTGTGTTAGCTAACTTTGCAAAATAACCCAGAGGACTGATAAGAAACTTAGTGCCTCTTAAAAGATAAACATTTGGGGACCATTTGGCAGGTCTGCATCCCTAGCCCTTTGTCTCTCAACTGCCTATAAATCCTCTAGACAGCACACCACCTTGGACTCTCTTGTCCGCTCCCCATGTGAACCAGGAGCTCTTTCCTCTTACTTTATCTCTAAATAAAAGCTTTTACTTGCTCTCCTACTTTGAGTGTTTGCGAAGTTCATTCTACAATTCCATGAACAAGAACCCCAGCATCATTAACAAATGCTGTTTGCCTGCTGAATAATACTCTTAAGGCACAAGGAAAAATATGTTGTAAAATACATGCTAAATAACCCAGGTGGTAAGAATCCTTAAGCACTCAGCACATGGATTGGCATCTTAAAACCAGTAAGCAAAAGAAATATCAAAGCCATAGACAAATGCAGTAGCGCACAGTAGTCCTTGGTTGAGGCTGGTGGATGAATGACCCCTCCAGTGTAATCTTCGGACAGTGTTTTGGCCTACAACATAGTTTTTACCTTAGTCCTTTTCTTCATTAGAAAATGTACATTTGAATTCTCAGGTCTTGAAATCCACAGGCACAGCTGAATTACTTTAACAGAAAAATTCTCACCACTGGAACTAAGCTCAAACAGATCACTTGACCTCTCACCTTCCACATCACTGAGTTCTGACACACACTCTCACTAAAATCCCCACCAGCAAGAGGAAAGCGGCCCCCAGGAGCAGGAGCCCTCGCCGCAGGATCAGCTGCCTCCGGGTCAGCTCAGTCACATCCCCCAGACAGCCCTGAAGGTGTCCTGGGTGCATCCACTGGTCCAGCTGAGTCTCATCTTTTGTTTCAACATCTCTCATTAAAATTCTGTCATGGTTTTCAGGGCCCACTGAGGGGAAAAAGGAACTCAGTTAGCAGCTTAAAAGGACGTTTTTTTGCATCTGTATAAAAAATGTCTGAAAGGTGATGCATGTCACTAGTAAAGGGGTTTCTAGCTCAGAGAAAGTTTGTTCAGGAAGCAGTTGCTACAGTGGGTTCATAAGAGAAATTCTTTCTCAGGCTACCTGTTCACTCCTGAACCCTGACATGGCCTACGGTTTTCAGCTCGGGTCCTCTAGCAGCTTCGTACTGTTAGGCTGGAGGAAGGAAAAACAAGGACATGCAAACAGAACAGAGAGATGCCATAGGGGGAGAACAGACCAGACCCCAAGGTCCGTGCCTTATACGAAAAGGGGACAGCTCTTCCTAAATTCCATCCTTCTGATGTGCCAACTAAGACCCGAATGTCAGCCTCCTCCCTCTTGGAAGGAAAAAAAGTTTCTAGTTGTCTACTATGTCACCTTTAGCCAATCATACCTCTCCACACCCCCTAGGATAGCTTGCCCACTCCTCCCCCTCTTAATCCCTTATAAGCCCCCACCTCCCTAACCAGGTGTGACTTCTCCAGCTTGTAGTACCCAGGCTGTGGAACATCACCATGGAGTTGCACTCTCTTTGCCTGCTTATTTCGGCTAAAATTTATCTTACACGCACCACCATGAGAACTAGAGAAATATGGTGGCTCTCTAAGTTACATTCAGAGGGGAGATTCTCAAGGAGCCAAGACCCATCTAATTATCATTTCAGAAAGAGAACAAGGCCAGTGGAGGAGAAAGATAACCTAAGAAATAATTAGGAATGTCACAATGCCTTTGGAGTTCCAAAAGAAAAGAGTTCCGAGTAGTGTCATACCAGCTCACACTTAGCGTAACGCTAGCTGACCGGGTGTTGGCTCTGCTCTCGGTGCTTCACCTGCCTGAGCTGCTGAGCTCTCAGAACAGTAGCCTGAGGTAGGTTGCAGGTAAAACTGCAGTATTTCCAGAATCTCTCGCCTGGCTTTAGTGCATCTCCATATCAGTGGGTAATTACCTGGGCTACAGAGGGCTTACTGGAACCTGAGAGGTTGGGGTCGGGGGAGGATTCACTCACTTCTGCCACAGCAGGAGAGAGAGACACACAGGATGGCTTTTTTGACTGATTTTGGTTTCAGCTAGGTATTTTGCCCCGGGATTTCCTCTCCTCGGAGTTATATAGGTACTATTATTATTCTGGTTTGGCAGAATATTGGTAGATGGTAGATGACTTGGACCAACCCTTCCTCTGAAGATTATTATAAAAGCTGGATAAAACCAATGAAAATCATTGTCTTGAAGGGGTCAGAGTGCTAACAATGGCACAAGGGCCAGATCTAGGGGAAGTTTGAAACCCAGAGGAGTGAGCCAGCCTTTGGGGCTGCTTTTGACCTGAGAGTTCCTTGCCTGCAGTGAGCAGTGCTTTGGGGAATTCAGTACCTACCAAGGTAAATGCCTCTGACCTTGGGTTGGAACTCAGAAGGGCTGCATCCAGGAATTAAGGATGAATCAGAAGTAAAGCAGCCTTTACACCAGTCACCTTTAGGTCAGCTGGGTGGTCCAGAAACCTCAATTTCTGGAATTGCCCTAGACTGCTGGTAACCCTAAATGTTCAACAGAAGCAAAGGAAAATCCTCTCTGAAGGCAGATATCATCTTAGGCCTCTAATTACTTCTGCAAACAATCTTCAAATACAAAGTTTGGAACACAGTCAAAGATAATCAGACACATGGGAAGCTAGACAACATGAATGGGAGCTGGCAGAAACAACAGAAGGGCCACTGATTCAGCCAATCCATGAAAAAAGGGACTCAGTTATAAAGGAGCAAGGGACTAGCGGTGGGTGCATGAGCTGCTGCCTCAGGAACTGGGAATCCAGGGGAGTCTTAATTTGACAGAAGGAAGATGATAAACATGTTTGCATGATGTTCACCAGAAGTAACAAACAGTCAAAAAATAATGGCATCTGCCTGATGAACAGGGGAGCCCCACTGACACAGCTTCAAGATAAGGTCGAGCACAGGATCACCAAGCATTAGAAACATCTGCAGAACACTTGCTTGTTCTGCATAAATTTGCCAAGGAATTGGCTACCTGCAGCCTTTACTCATGGACAGCAGTATGTTCATGTCTGGAATTAAAGCAAACAAGCATCAAGTCTGTTATCTCATATGGGACATTCACTTGACTTTACCATTTGTTTCTGAAAAATGGCCTTATTTAAATGAGAGCTCACAGCAGCAAATCTAGCTGTGTCCCACAAATGGCACTTCCTGAGCCACCCAGACAGGCCCGTTCCAAGGGTTGAGGCAGGTGTGTCATACCTGGGGAAAGCGGTTCCTGCGAGAGAGCAGATGTCCCATCCTGGACCACATTTTGTTTCAAACTGGCATGTACCTGAGCCTAGAAGATGAAACTCTTCTAGGTTTTGCTATAGTATTAATAAAATATTTTATTTTGACTACCCAGTTTAGGAAAAGCCAAGCCATTTTCTTTAATTGTCAGGTAACATTGGCGTGCCTCTAGTTCACAAGTATGGAATCATCTTTCACATGCCTGTCAGAGAGCAGGGGGAGTTGGACGGAAAAGTACAAGGTAAGGGGGAAGATCACTTAGAATTCTCCCTTCATCTCTTTTATCTATCACCTATTTTTAGATCCCACATTGACCCTAGGAAGTTCAAAGATGCACACAGGTATCTTAATGAAATATTTTGGGATTATAGAAAACAATATTAGGATAAATTTGATAGCAATCCCACCACCTTTCCAGTTCTAAATATTGTCCTGAAATTGGTTTTTCAGGCACACAGGCAGCAGCTTTGCATGGTAGAATAGGAGAACCCCTATTTTTCTACTCAGTGAATAAACAAGAGGAAGGGATAAGCCATGGTCATCTGGCCCTTCATGTCTGAAACAAATGCAGCTAAAACAACAGAGAGGCCGCATTCATGATAAAAGAGTAGAGAGCCTTCCAAACTGAGAGGGAGCGAGCCAACGCTGATTGTTTCTAGGAATCTTTGCTGAAACAGCAATGAGTATAGTTACCTGTTGGCAGGCTTTTTTCCAATCTAGCCAAGCAATAAAGCCTAGAAAACAAGCAGCTTGAGCACTCACACAGATGATGATTCCTGACCACAGACCTAGAAGGTACAGATATTTAATAGAGGTTAATGCAGTGGAAAACCAGCCACCCCTTGGGGAGCAATGTTTCTTATACCTGACTTTTGAGAATCTGCTTTCATGGCTAAGGTGGAGCCCTTGGTGAGCCAGAGGCCTCTATCCTGCTCTCTTCCTTGGTTCCAGAAGGCTTCAGGAGGCCCAATGCTCCCTGAGGCCTCTTCCCAAGGTTCTGGGTCTCAGAAAAATGTTCAGAGGGTATTTTTGGCCTTTGCAATCATAGTGCTCCGCTATTAAGAAAAGTGCCAGTTATAAGAAAATTAAATTTCCATGACAAACTATTTCCTATTTCTAATAGTACTTTCTAACTACTATGTCCTATTTTCCTCAAAAAATGGATTAACATTTTAAAAATGTAGAAGTCCCCAGGCATCTAAAGCTCCCTCGGAGTGTCCTGCAGGACCTAACTTGCTTCAGTCACAGGCTCCGGGAGCTCCCAGGGCAGAGTTTTTTGAAGAGATGATCACATGAAAGGACAGGCAGGTTTTCCCAATCTCCTAGTCCTTAATGTAAGCCCTGGGCCAAAACATTGCTTCCTGCTATGTAATAACCAGCCCTGAAAATTTAATAGGCAGAGACTGACTTTGCAAATGGAGTTAAGATATTAAATGCACAGCAGGGAAGAAACTATTTCTCAAGGACCCATTGGCAACTCCATTCTTTGAACAGCTGCTGTATTTTTCATTTAATTATTATTGAACTTGAGAAAAATGTGCAACATAATAGGACACAAGGGACTGGAAGTTCACTGTGGGTATCAGATGACTTCTCACTGCCTCTGAGCCTGCCAAGCACTAATGGACAAAAATGGACCACATTTATCTCTGTCACTACTTCACCCAAAGATGAGTTCAGGCTTTAACGTAATCATTTATCAACGGCCAATGTATGTCAAATTATTATTTTAGAAATCAAAGCTGGGCAGTCATTTGTTTCTCCACTTCTTTAAAGATGAGCTCTGGTAATTTCGGATCCTGCGGAGGAAGGTCTTTCCTCCAGATGCACTAAGGTGATAAAGAGGTGCCCCCGCCCCTCTCCCCTCCTGTGCTGTTCACACACACCACACCCATGCCCTGTGGGGAGACCCACAAGACACACGGCTTACAGGCCTGTGCCAGGTGGGAGGCAGAGGCCATAGAACGGCAGTGGTGGTGACCGTTCCCTGGGACTGTCCTCCTTGCCAGCTGCGTGTATCAAGACATAGAGCGCTTGGCTCTAGGACATGTCCGGCCACCACAGGTGCTGCCAGGAGTGCTGCTGCCAGCATGGCCTCCTGAGGGCCTGGCAGTCGGGCAGACTCACCCTTAGGGTCTCACCGCAGGACAGAACTGCAGCCACAAAGGCACATTTTTGAGCGCTGCTCCAGCAGCCCCTGCCGCCACCAAGTCTGAAGGAGTGAGAACTTGGTGACACTGGACAGGGAGATAGAATATGTCAGTGTGGAAGATGGCCCACTGGACAAGAGGAGCAGGACATGCAGCCCTGGAGCCTGGCTCCCTCTTGCCCCCTGCCCTCTCTGCTAAAGCCCAGACAGGAATTTTGCCTTTTTGAATAAGCCCACTCACCATCTCAGAGAGACCTAGGTGTCATCTTACTTAGGCTACAAGCATCCTCCAGAGGACACGTCAGCAAGCCACACGCCCACCTTTCGCCTGACCCCTCCCCTCAAAAAGTCTGCCAATTCTCTCTCACTTACCAACTTTACATTTCCCTGTATGGCCCCGGAAGATGACTGGTTAGCCAGAGACGGGTAAGATTCCTCAAGGGAGGAACAACCTAAGACAGGCACAGTCGCAGGGGGGCCATCAGGTGAGAAATTGGGGATCAACAGAGGTGAGGCTCAGAACCTCACCCCCCCTGCTTTGAGAGAAATCTTCTGCA